AGGTCCCTTCCGACCCTAGAAACTATGAAACTATCTCCAGGGAGTGTCTCTGCCAGTTAGTGTCAGCTGCCCTGGGACTGCACTGGAGTGTCTACAGGCACCTGGGGAAACCCCGGCAGGCACTTATGGTGCATCAGGGGTTTGATCCTGCATGCCCTGGGAATGGGAATTCCTGGGGTGCACAGGATAGGGCTGCTGAAGCCCTGACAGCGGCTACCTGGGGCAGCTGGACAGCGTGGACAGGTCTGAGCTGACAGCGCATTTCTGTCATCAACCTAGCAGATATCTGCTGCAATAAAGGGCACAAATTGATACTATCTATGTTGTAACCACAAATTCTAGGTTTTTGCAGCATGAAAAGGGGCGTGTATGCTTTTTGCTTGGCCTTTGTGCTGCTGTAAAAGTTTTTATGGCAGTACAAATGCGGTATCTGTTTTCACCCTTAGAGAACACGCAGAAAATCCTGTTGTGGGAATAGAGGTGAAAGCTGTAATAGTAGTAAACTCATACCCTGTCTGTTCCTAGATAGCAACATAAAAATGAAGACAGTGAACCCGACTAATAGTCTGTCTAGTCTAGGCCCCTGTCCCCAGCACCAGACACTTCAGCAGAGCATGCAAAGGTATATGCAGTGTGGATAATTATGGAAGAAAAAATCCAAAGGGGAAGATTTTTCCTGTTCTCTAACATTGGGAGTTCCTTTTTGCCCTAAAAAAGGAAAATTTGGCTGTAGGCAGATATATTTTTCAACTAGTTTGAAAGGAAAGGAGGACTAGGTTGTTCTGGAAGTGTACTTCAGCTTTTACAATCTGTTACATCTGTATGCTCCTATAGTGGTATAAATGAATTAAATCTCTCTACATTTATCCCTAAATAAAACAGGTTAAAGTAACAGCAACTTAGCTACATGTAGAGATCTATAGTAGCATTTCCCAAACTATGGGCCATCTACCACTGCAGGTCTGTGAAAGTTCCTGGGGAGGTTGCGCATGAGAATCAAATTGCCTCCCTACTTCACCCACTCTCATGGCCCCCCTGCTTCATCCTCCATTGCCACTGATGCCCCTCACCATGAATTGCTGATGGCTTTCCTGACACCGATTGCCCCTGGTGAGTGGAACTAGCAGCAAATGGAAGCAGAGGAAAGTTGCTGGCAAATAAAGTGATGGCTGAATTAGTAGGGTGTGCAAATGCCTGTATTTGCTATGAGGAGGCATAAACCATAAGGTTTGGTAAATATAAGACTGTCGGAACACACAGACATAAGTTACCATATATCATAACAGTTTATATAATTTTATACCAATATCCTTGTTAATTCTGTCTGTAGCCTTTGAGTCACCTAAGTTGTCAATGTAAATATATTAGCTTTTATGAGTGTTTAAATGTGTTGCTGTTAAATTTGAGTGTCCCCTTGATCTTATACAGTGGTGAAGTGCTCAAAGCACTTGATAAACCATCATTCACTATTTTCTGGTCACTGATTACAAAGCAAGAATTGCTCTTATTTCCTTGCAACAGTGGAGCAAGTATTACAATTGCAGGAGATGCTAGCAGATGTTGATGGAAGGCAAACAATAATCTGAATGTAGCGTGTGAAAAATTCTCAAATTTTGAGTATGAAAGGCCCTGATCCTATGAAGTGATTAGCACCTCTATATCTGTTGAAGCCATTAGACTAAAGGCACTAAATCCCATAGAGGACAGAACCCTTACACCTGACAAACATCATAACCCTTTGCTTAGGAAAACAGAAAGAAAAATTTCCTTGCATGCATCAATGAGATAAAGGGGACATTGTAGCCTACAGTCCTTCTAACCATGATGAATTCATTGCAAGTGTGAAAGCTATTCAAAACTCAACTATGTGAGTTAGAGTAAGTGGTATGAAAAATGTTAAATAAATATCAGTTTTTTAAAGATTAATGATAGTTGTAAGAGTGACCATATTGTGATCCATTGCTGGGAATATTTGCATTTCACTGCTCAGTACGGTTTTTATTCTTTTTCTTTCTAATTGAGAAGTGTGTAATGTAGAGGTTATTACTGCTGGGGTAGTAGCTTGATTACTGTCCGGCTACACAGCACATGCGTGTGCATTTTTAATTTTGGTTAAGCCTCCACTCTCTTCCTTCTCCATTTATCTAGAGGCAACTGAGATAGGTCCATAAGAGCAGCATTAACAAAATTCTGCCATTGCAGCAACCCTAAGAAGGAGACCTTGCAACATAACCACAGATTTTTTGACACCTGTCCAAATAGTAAAAAAAAAATCAACATTTTGTATGGGGCCAGTGTCTTCAAAAGAGATAAAACTATGGCAATATCAGCAATAAAGTTACAGCCAGAAAAGTGACAAGCAATTCCTCCAAATCAAGACAGGTGAGGCAGACTGTGAATTCCTGGCTGATGTCACCAGGACAGCATCTAAGAATAATTACCAGAACTGAGCCTCTTTTTGAAAGACAGTCCTATTTTTAATATGTAAAAATTTTCATTGCCTATTCTGTGTTCTCTTTGCAAGTACATGGACAGTCCTCCAATTCGTGATTCAAAAAAGGTCCCATGGGAAACCTTTAAAAGTCATAAGATAACCTAAGATTAGTCATAGGCTAAGATTAGTATAATGAGGTTTTGAGAGAGTCTTATTTGCATTTAAGGTGTGTGGTTGGTTTAGAAGGTTTTTTGTTGTGTTTTTGTTTGGGTGTTTTGTTTTGGTTTGTTTTTTTGGTTGCTGCTGCTTCTTGTGTTTCCACCACGTTTGACCATTTTGTTACGCATGCTTGTTCTTGTTTATTATACCTTGCAAAACCTTTCATTGTACATGTGCCTCTGAGCAGTGGGCATTCCAGCAGGTGTTGCATAGTCTGAGGCTTTGTGCCAGTCACAGGTGGTTGAACCAATAGTATAGCTCCACTTCTTCATTAGTTCCTTGGAAATTCTGACTATGGTATGGAGGTGGTTGAGACCTTTCTTTGCCATGGTTCATCAACCCATGATGGTATGAACTAGGCTCCTGGAATGTACATTTTTTTGCTGTCAGGTGTTTTCTTCAGCCTCTTGTTCCACATCTGTAGTCATGTCTTCTTGGGTGTGGCATTGAAAGCATGAACGACTGGTGCCTCCCGCAACTGGGGGGGCACCATGGCGGTGAGTGGGGAGCACCATGGTGTGGGAGGTGGTGAGCAAGGACTGCCTGCAGCCACCAGCAGCTGCATTGGCAGCAAAGGGCGGGGGGTGACAACGGCCCGCAGAAGCCGGCAGCGGTTTCAGTGGCCAGTCTTGGGGGAGGCACATGACCCCCACCATGTGCCCCCTACGTGTTGTCTATGATTGAGAGGTTGGGTGCTGGTGAGGAAACTCCTGTGTGGCTTCAGACATTTGTGTGCTGCAGGATGATCATACAATGAGTGTCTCACATTTTCAGTTTGTCTCAGTTGGTCTGTTCTGCTGGCCACTGCTCTTCTGATGTCAGGCAGAGTCATGCCAGCCAGCAGGCACACACTGTATAGGCTGTTAAGTTTCAGACATCCTACAATGCATTGGCAGCTCTCATTCAAAATGGGGTAAAAGGCACTTAGCATGTACAGATCTCTACCATCTACAGCAAAAGTTTTTTTCCAAAGCAATTGATTGGTCAATCGTATATGTTAATAATAGTGAATCAAACACGCTTCCTTGTCAGAAGCCATTAATCTGTGACTTCCATCTGTTTTGCTTCCCATCCAGTTTGACAAAAATTGTCTGTAAGTAGGGTTCATATCAGCTCTGTAAGGTGTCGATCTTTTGTCATTTCCAGGGTCTTGTGGAGGAGTTGCCAGTGGTTAATTGTATCATAGGCAGCTGTTAGGTCACTGAACAGAGCTCCGGTGATTTGGCCTCTTTCAAAACCATCCTCAGTATGTTGAGTTAGACTGAGCAGCTGGCTCGTTGTTGATTTTCCAGGGTGAAGTCTGCCATGTTCAGGGATTAGATATTTATCCACATACGGGGCAAGCTAGTTCAGTATCAGTCAGTCATCTGTACAATTTTTATGCGTGGCAGAGAGATATGTCTGAAGCTCTTTAGGTCAGATGGATAGATCTTTCCCTGGCATTAGAAGTTCCAATACCTGAGCACGTCACCATAACCTGGGAATTTTTTGACTGGCTGAGCATGAGTTGTATAGGCAAAGGAGCCATTTGCAAGTCTGGGGCCTGAATTGCTTGATTTGTTCAGTAAGTATGTTGCAAAGACTGGCTGCTTTCCTGGTCTTCAGTTTACTAATACCAGCTTTCAACTCCATCATTGAGAAGGGGCTTG